TTCAAATCCCCTGTGGGACGTGGAGACCGGTGCTTTGGATGAGACCGTATAAACCGAGGTTTTGTGTCGCAGTAGGCGCTGGCACGTAAAAGATCCCTCACTGTTCAAAGGCCATAAGTGCCAAGCATGGGTCTAAATTTGCAGCCCTCTACAGCCAAGTGGTGTAGTCTCAATATGAGTGAAAATTCTCGAAAGAACGTTACATACAAAAGAGCACATTTATGGAAAATTCAAGTTCCAATCCTTATTTCCTTAACTTCAAATTAAAATGGCTTAGCCACAATGCTTCATATCAGTAAAGTATCTATAAAAATATAATAAGACAATAACATATAGTTTCTCTTAAATTTTGTTAACATGGTTCACCAAATGTAAGGCAAAATATTTCACCAGCACTTCTTTCTCTTGTGTCTTAAAAAGTCTTTAATAAGCTTTTAAAAAGCCCACAGTAATGGATGTCGCAGTGTATTCAACCATAGGCGCTTGGTTTCAGGATTGTGTATTTTTTGTATCATGTGTTTTCCTAGGTGTGTCTGAATACCCGGTACATTTATTAAAATAAAGAAGTCGCTGAAATAAGGACTTTTAAAATCATAAATAATATTTTTGTATATAAGAAGACAAAAGGTTCGACACTCGTCATCTTGGATTCCTGGAGTGCCTCGGTTTAAACGTAATTATATTCAATATCCACACTTCTCCATTGCCTTAAGAGTCCATAAAATATAGCTTTACTATAGTATAAATCGCAAGCAATTGGAAAGGGGGGGGGGGGTCGACAAATTTTCCGACAAAATTCAGACTATACAACTAGCTATACATTTGCTGGAAAATGTATATTTTGACCAATTTTGAACATTTGAAAATGTCTTTGATCATATTCCTCTCAATAAATGTTCAACATTGACAGCTAAAAATGTTATGGTGATAATTTTTATTAATAAATTCATTCCGTGTTCATGAGTGTTTCAGATTGAAGATTTGCTGTTGTTGACTTTGATTTTATTTGTTAGAAGTTAAAGTGCACTAAGAAAATAAAACGTTATTTTTTTATTGCTTCAATAATATAATTCCATATTGATAACATATTTTTTTTAAAATTATGAATAAAAGATCTTAAAAACAACTAAATATTCTGTCTGATTTATTTTTAGTATATTTCTTTTTTTCCCCTAATATTCATAAGCAATTTATAAATTTACGATTTTTTAGGAAGGATTTTATAAGAAGTACATTCAATGGCATGCTGATAGGAATAAAATATTCACTGCACTGGTGTGTTCGGTGAAACGAATACTGAAAATAATTAAGGTTTTGCATTAAACACCATATCTTGCGCACTGCACACTCAAAGCACCATATTTGTCATCAATATTTGCGAGAAATTCGTTTTCCTCTCTAAGTGGATTAGTTGAAAACACAGTCTCTATGTGCCCTATATGTACGTACAGCTTTACATAATATTTTTTATCCATGTTTACAAGTACAGATTACAACACGAGTATAGACAGTCCATGAATGCATTCTAGTCTGTTACTAATTGATACTGAGATGTGAAAATCAACATCATTGATAGCTTTCTGCATGGTGCAAGGGTGATAATAGAAAGACTTGTTTTTAGTTACACTGTCTGAAGTAAGGGTCTAAAAGAAGAAATATTAGTTAATATGGATATTAATTTTATAGAACGTAAGTATATCGTAAATCAATTTTTATGAGAAATTTTCTACTAAATAACTTAATTTCAGTTTGAGTTTTAAATACTTATTAAAATCCCATCTGAGTTTTGAAAATATGTATATATTCAATCACTACATTACATGACATATACTGAATCTTTTTTTAGATATTTGCACCAAAGATGGTTTTTTTTTTTTAATGACTTCTTTGAATTAACACTGCAGCAACTGTTAAATATATGTAGCTAGGTAGTGCAGACTCAAATTATGCAAATAATGGTCATGGAATGGGACCACAAAAAGAAATAAAGGGTTTACATAGATTAAGTAAAAATCAATTTTAAACAAGAGGTTCTGTGAGGAAGCTCACAAAATAATCAGGACGGACCCTCTGATCATAAACAAAGTCTGTATCAAGTATGAGCTTCCAGTTATTCTCCATTACAAAGATATGACTTGAACAAGGATTTTATACTTTTCTGCTAGTAACCTTGAACTTGTGAGAATGACCTAGAATCAAGGTCAGGACACCCCCTCCCTCCCCCCCCCCCCCAAATCATAGGCAATCTCTTTACCAAGCATGAGCTTCTACTGATCTTCCATTAAAAAGTCAAAGTTGGACAGAAATTGTATACTTTTTTCTGGCATTGACTTGCTGGAATGACCTCGGGTCAAAATATGGACATACCTTTGGGTGACAAACAATCTCTGTACCAAGTTTGAGCTTCCAGTGATTTTCCATTACAAAACTATGGCCTGCACAATTTTTTTCCCAGTGACCTTGAACTTGCCAAAATGACCTTGGATCAAGGTCACTACTTATCCCCTAATCATAAGCAATATCTGTACTAAGTATAAGCTTCCAGTGTTTTCTCCATAACAAAGTTAAAGCCTAGACAAGATTGCACGACAGACAAACATACAGAAAGATGGACAAGGGGATTGCTATGTTTACCCCTAAACTTTTATATACAGGAGGTTTAAACAAGAGGCCCATGGGCCACATCGCTCACCTGAGTGACTTTGGCCATGCTGTTCTTTACCAGATTTCCCCACTTGTAATACCTATTGCAGCCCTGCCCTACCCTCGTGGGTCATGATTTGAACAATTTAGAATCTACACTACCCAAGGATGCTTCCACATAAGTTTCAGCTTTTCTGGTCCAGTGGTTATTGAGAAGAAGATTTTTCCTATATATTTCAATGCAAAACCTGGATTCCCTATTGTGTCATGATTTAACAATTTAGAATCAACACCACCCTATCCCCCGGGGGTCATGATTTTAACAATTTAGAATCAACACCACCCCAGGATGCTTCCACATAAGTTTCAGCTTTTCTGGCCCAGTGGTTCTTGAGAAGATTTTTAAAGATTTTTCCTATATATTTCAATGTAAAACTTGGATTCCTTATTGTGGCTCTGCCCTACCCCTAGGGGTCATGATTTGAACAATTTAGAATCTTTACTATCCCAGGATGCTTCCACATAAGTTTCAGTTTTTCTGGTCCAGTGGTTCTTGAGAAGAAGAATTTTAAAGATTTTTCTTATAAATTTCAATGTAAAACTTAGATTACCTATTGTGGCCCCGCCCTACCCCCGGGGGTCATTTTAACAATTTAGAATCTACACTACCCCAGGATGCTTCCACGTAAGTTTCAGATTTTTTTGCCCAGTGGTTCTTGAGAATAAGATTTTTTAATGACCCCACCCTATTTTTGTCTTTTCTTGATTATCTCCCCTTGTAAGGGGACTTAGCCGTTGATTTTAACAATTTAAACTCACTCCCCTTCACCCAAGGATACTTTGTACCAAGTTTGGTTAAAATTGGCCCAGTGGTTCTTGCGAAGAAGTTGAAAATGTGAAAAGTTTAAAGACGGATGGACGGACAGACGACGGACAACTGGTGATCAGAAAAGCTCACTTGAGCTTTCAGCTAAGGTGAACTAAAAATATTGCAAGTTTGGAAATTTCTCAAAATTCAAATTGCCTACATGCCATTTTTTTCTTTAGATCACAAACTTGATTATGCTAAATAGCATAAATTTAGCAAAAAGCCAAAGTTTTTTTTTCTCTTGGTTTACAATCCCGCCGACCTTAATTTCCACCAATCAAGAAAATAAGAATAATGTCTTTGTTCCGACATATTTTTCTGGATTTTTCTCAGCTGAACTGGGGATTTTAAAATTTGGAATGCATCTTAGTCAAAAGTTTTAATAGGTGACCGTAAAAAAACACATGCAAACCAAAAATGGCGGTTCTATCATACAACAAGGTAATTCCTCACTGAAAGCAATGACACATAGTTAAGGAGGCTGGGGGGTCAACAAATTAACCATCAGATATAACTTAATTTTTTAGGTATGATATCTTAAGCTATCAACTATCATTTGGCAAACAAAAATTTCATACATTTTAGTTTTAAAATTTGATCATTTTTGTATATCTTTATATGGAGCTCTTCTTCTAAAGGAGATCAATATAGTCTGAAAATGGCCACAACGACCCAGCCCTCTAAAAGAACTTTTTCTGCATGGAAAAGTGAATAAAATCTTGGATGCATGGTGCCTTTCTCCAACTGAAATGTCTCAATTGGCTAAATTCAAACTGTAATATTGGAGAGTGCATGCCCAACACTCACCTAGCAGATAAACCTACAGATAATAGGCCAATTTTGATGTTGAGAGATACATTTTGGTTGAAGTAAAGCTGACTGGTATTTCACTGGATCAATTCAAATATGTACAAAATATTTGTTTGTTAATTTATGGAATTCATTTTAAAATACATTTGCAAATTTGATACTCAATTGAGATCAAAGCCCTCTGTAAGTAAATAATTAGCATTGCATTAAAACAGAATACAAATGAATACATAAAATACATAATAATTTGTATAAAAAAAAATACTGCCATTTTGGTCCTGACATGCACACGAGGGTGACTACAGAGGTTTCTTCCTCTTTTTTCAAGATATAATTTTGTGTGTGTGTTTTTTTACTTGTTAATTTCAAGTCTCCTTTCTAACATAAAACCAGAGAAGAGTCCAGACTATGACTTGCTTCTCTGTCAGTCTGTCTATCTGTCCATATAGAACACAGGCAAAATTTATTTAATTACTTGAAATTAATCATTTGCTATGTTTACATTTCAACACACAGGATTTTCTCATTGTTATTATAATTTTAAAAATAATGTTTGAATATTTCAATCTATTAAACTTATTGATAAATGGATGTTTATTGTTGGTGATCAAAATTACAATCGTATGTGTAAAATCCGGTCCTACCTTTAAAGAATCTTGACATTATACAAGTGTCTTACCTTTGTAAGTCCACACGGAGAAGATTGATCCTTCTTGATTGTCTTTCTCTTTACTGACAACATCTTCAAACTTCTTAGTCATGTCCAAGACAAGGATGAAGAAGGCTTTTGGTGTTACGTAAATTTGGTGACAAGCATAATACGCTAACTGGCCAGCAAAATCCAGCATGCTTACTGATGGTAACTTCTTTTTATCAGACAAGATTTTCTGAAAAATTTCATCTTTCACCATAGCTGAAGCTTCTGAGGAAAGAAGACTGGCCATTACCTCTACTGTATTCTCTTCTTCTGTGCCCTCAGTTGGTGAACTAGACATTTCCACATTCTCTTCTTTCTCTTCTTCTCGGCTATAAACTACTTCAGTGTTTTTATCAGTACTTCCTAGTTCCAAATTGTCTTCTTTTCCATTTGTATTGGAGACAGAAACTGCACTGCTTGGGTCTGGTTTCAGATCTGCAGCGTTTATCCTGATAAATGTCTTCAATGGTGAGTCATCATCAGTCACTGTAAAAGAGGAATGTTGTTATTTGGTAAATGTTTTCATTTTAAAACACATCATAGAGTAATTATATATGTCTATTTTATCACAATTGAAGATTGACAACAAACATTCTACTGATCGTATTATATCTTGTATTTCTATATATGTGTTCATAATTAAACAATAAAATTCTTTATCATATGATGATGATTGAATAATTTCCAGCTCTCTGGTTGGCTGCGCCAGATCAAACATTGTAAAAACTAGAAATATGTCCATAGGACATGAACAGTCTTCACGAAAACTCATGATCAGTGGTCCAAAGACCATTTTGATGTCGGGTCAATGAAAATTAAAATTCAAGAAGTCTGATGGGCTTGGAGATTCTTAAAGTCATAGACAGTCAAAATATATTTAAACTGTCTTGCTTGCGTAAATTAGAGTAAAAATACCCGGGTATGAGGCAATGCTAATTGCACATACCTGGAATAAACTTAAAAAAGACCGTTTTTTTTTTTACTCGCAAAACTTGGCGACCACAGGTCGCTTTTAACTCGAAATTTCTGTTTTTAATTCGCATTTAGCGAGTATTTCCCGTTAATTTCAACCCCTGACCTGATGATGCTTTCATATCAATATAACAAATGGCTTTGCTGTTCTTGAGCAGCAGATATTTTCCCATATATTCATTTGTAAAAATTTGATCCCCCATTGTGACCCCACCCTACACACTACCCCAGGGTGCCTCCATACCAAATTGACTACTGTAAACCAACTTTTATTCGCGTGCGAGAAATTTTCGCGAGGTTCGCGGGAGTCTCGTCAACGCGAATATTTCTCGCCGCGAACCGGTCCTAAAAGTCTCTGTGTCTATTAACAACAGATCCAAACAAGAGGCCCATGGGCCACATCACTCTCCTGAGTAACTTTGGCCATGCTGTTCTTTACCAGATTTCCCCCTTGTAATACCTACTGTGGTCCCGCCCTACCCCGGGGATCATGATTTGGAACAATTTACAATCTACACTACCTCAGGATGCTTCCAAATAAGTTTCAGCTTTATTGGTCCAGTGGTTCTTGAAAAGAAGATTTTTAAAGATTTTTCTTATATATTTCAATGTAAAACTTGGATTCCCTATTGTGTCCCGCCCTACCCCTGGGGGTCATGATTTGAACAATGGATGCTTCCACTTAAGTTTCAGCTTTTCTGGCCCAGTGGTTCTTGAGAAGAAGATTTTTCAAGATTTTTCCTATATATTTCAATGTAAAACTTGGATTCCCTATTGTGGCTATGCCCTACCCCCGGGGGTCATGATTTTAACAATTTAGAATCTACACTACCCCAGGATGCTTCCATATAAGTTTCAGTTTTTCTGGCCCAGTGGTTCTTGAGAAGAAGATTTTTCAAGATTTTTCTTATATACTCCAATGTAAAACTTGGATTCCCTATTGTGGCCCCGTCCTACCCCCGGGGGTCATGATTTGAACAATTTACAATCTACACTACCCCAGGATGCTTCCACATAAGTTTCAGCTTTTCTGGCCCAATGGTTCTTGAGAAGAAGATTTGTATAGATTTTTCTTATATATTTTAATGTAAAGCTTGGATTCCTTATTGTGGCCCCACCCTACCCCCGGGGGTCAAGATTTGAACAATCTAGATTCTACCCTACCCCAGGATGCTTCCAAATAAGTTTCAGCTTTTCTGGCCCAGTGGTTCTTGAGAAGAAGATTTTTCAAGATTTTTCCTATATATTTCAATGTAAAACTTTGATTCCCTATTGTGGCCCCGCCCTACCCCCAGGGGTCATGATTTTAACAATTTACAATCTACACTACCCCAGGATGCTTCCACATAAGTTTCAGCTTTTCTGGCCCAGTAGTTCTTGATAAGAAGATTTGTATAGATTTTTCTTATATATATTTCCATGTAAAACTTTGATTCCCTATTGTGGCCCTGCCCTACCCCCGGGGGTCATGATTTGAACAATTTAGATTCTACACTACCCCAGGATGCTTCCAAATAAGTTTCAGCTTTTCTGGCCCAGTGGTTCTTGAGAAGAAGATTTTTCAAGATTTTTCCTTTATATTTCAATGTAAAACTTTGATTCCCTTTGTGGCCCCACCCTTCCCCCGGGAGTCATGATTTTAACAATTTAGATTCTACACTACCCCAGGATGCTTCCATATAAGTTTCAGTTTTTCTGGCCCAGTAGTTCTTGAGAAGAAGATTTTTCAAGATTTTTCTTATATATTCCAATGTAAAACTTGGATTCCCTATTGTGGCCCCGTCCTACCCCCAGGGGTCATGATTTTAACAATTTAGAATCTACACTATCCCAGGATGCTTCCACGTAAGTTTCAGCTTTTCTGGCCCAGTGGTTCTTGAGAAGAAGATTTTTTAATGACCCCACCCTATTTTTGTCTTTTCTTGCTTATCTCCCCTTGTAAGGGGACTTGGCCCTTTATTTTAACAATTTACACTCCCCTTCTCCCAAGGATACTTTGTACCAAGTTTGGTTAAAATTGGCCCAGTGGTTCTTGAGAAGAAGTTGAAAATGTGAAAAGTTTACAGACGGACGGACAGACGGACGGACGATGGACAATGGGTGATCAGAAAAGCTCACTTGAGCTTTCAGCTTCTTGAGAAGAAGATTTTTAAAGTTTTTTCTATATACTCTTTTGAAAAACTTTGAGCCCCCATCCTATCGGGGGGGGGGGGGGGGGGGGGGAGAGAAAGGTTATGACTTGAACAAACTTGAATCTACACTACCTGAGGATGCTTCCATATAAATATGACCAATCATGGCTCTGCTGTTCTAAAGAAGATTTTTTTAAAGATATTTTCCTATATATTTCTCTGTAAAACTTTGTTCCCTCATTGTGGCCCCACCCTACCCCCAGGGGTCATGATTTAAACAAACTTGAATCTACACTACCTGAGGATGCTTCCATATAAATATGACCAATCATGGCTTTGCAGTTCTTAAAAAGAAGATTTTTAAAAATATTTTCCTATATATTTCTCTGTAAAACTTTGATTCCCCATTGTGGTCCCACCCTAACCCATGGGGTCATGATTTGAAAAAAATTGAATCTACACTACCTAAGGACGTTTCCACATAATTTTCGTCTTTCCTGGCCCAGTGGTTCTTGAGAAGAAGATTTTTAAATGATGCCATTATTTTTTCACTTATTCCTAATTATCTCCCCATGAAAGAGGAGATGGCCCTTCATTTGAACAAACTTAAATCCCCTTCACTCAAGGATACTTTGCGGCAAGTTTGGTTGAATTTGGCACATTGGTTCTTGAGAAAACAGGGCTCTCACACCCATTTTTGGTACTGGGGCCTGGGCCAATGGAATTGGGAAAAAAGCGGTGTTTTTATAAAAATTGGGAAATTTTTACCAGTCATAATTTTAACTCTTAAAACAAGAAAAATCAAATAAACACAGAATAATCATAGAAACTGAAAACAAATCATCTTATTTATTCAAGGTAGATCTTAATTAGACATGTAATTGACTGTTCAGATGTTTAGAACTTTAAAATAAAATGTTTGTCTTAAGATGTCCTGAAATGCTCTTGGGCTCTGGTCAGAACTTTAAATGTTTGTCTTTGGATGTCCTGAAATGCTCTAGGGCTCTGGTCAGCTGCCTTGGAGTCAAGCACCCATTGGATTCTGACACAATTCTTATAATGTTGTCCAGACTCTCTTGTTTAAGACAGCTCCTCATGGGTGTGCAAACTGTGTTCATAAGAGAAAACAGCCGTTCCACACATGCAGTGGAACTTGGAATGAGGCAGGACAACAAAACCAGGTGGTACATGGCAGGATAAGAAGCACGCAAAATATCATCCTGGAACTGTCTAAGTAAAAAGTGTGGGTCTGCTAACTCATCCTCAGAAGCTCTCTGTCTAAAACAAAAAAAATGAAAGGGTCAATTTGAAGACTAACAACAATTAATTTAACATTTGATTTTGGAAACTTTAATAAAATTAAATTTGAGTTTTTTAGTCTCTGCCTCTTTCAACTGTAGTACTTTTCATAATTTATTAATTAATATTTATAATAATATTAAATTCAAAAACAAATTCCAATTAAAATATAGCAAGTGAATTAATTACCATTGGGTTTGAACTTTTACTTTGTATTTTAACTAGTAAAAATTTTAATTATAAATAATACACTGTTGTGATGTAATAAATTGTTATTAATAATTTAAATCTTAAAGTTAGTAAAACAAACATGCAGCTGCACATTTAAATCTGACCTGAATATTGAATCCAGAAGAGCTGCAAACTCAGTGCAAAGTTTTACTAATTGTAAAACACTTACAGTCCTGGTACTTTAGACTGATTTATGATAAACTGAGATCTAATTCAGTAGCACTGAAAGTTAAAATTAAAATAAACAATATCATAAGATAACATTGAAACATTGATATTTCTGAATAAAAAATACAAAATTAACATCAACATGAAAATATAACAAGAAGTTGGTAAGTAAAAATAAAACAAAGTGGTTTAATTTAACAACAAACTCCATCAAATAAACATAAGGATACCTCATTAAAAACATCTGGTGTTTAAACCCAGCAAACTGTTGCTTGAATGTTTCCTCAGAAAAGACAGGCTGGGAGATTGTCCTATGTCCCTTGAATACATCCTCCAGTGCATTACCATAATGTGAAGCTAAACATCTTATTTCCTCCTGCACAATGTTAAGATACTAACTTTAATTTTTTTATGATGAAATTTAATCTTTGGAAAAGTTTTTTTTAAATACCACTCTGGGGCAATACACTGTACTGGAAAATGAAATAATTTTTAATTCATGTTTTTTTTAATAATATATCAATTGATTTTTGAACCTACCTCTCCAAACTCTGCTAATTCAGCAACAGTATTGGGTACCTCTTTTAGTTCAAATACCCTTAACCCAGCCAGCACTGGAGAACAATGAAATCCATCTTCAATCTCATGTATAAGGGCAAGGATGAGAGGGACTGCCAGTTCAGCTACAACCTGGGTCATGGTATATACATTCTCCTGTTGCCTAAATAGTATTTTATAAATAATCATATTAATATTAACAGAAGACAAGTTAATATAAATGTACCAATATTAATATTCTTTCAAAAATATGAAATATTAAATAATTTACCGGAGTCTTCTTGCTAACTCTGTCCTATCATCAATTTCGGCCCAATATGTTGGAAGTCTGGAGAAGTGTAAGTCAACATCAGGATCTGCAACATTGCCTTCAGCACACACTCTGTATCTTTCTGTTAGATGGTGCAGTTCATCAGTGAGTTCCTAAGTAATAAATTATTGTAAAATTGTATTTAATATTACTTGGTAATCCTCTGAGGTAGAGTATTAATTATATATATAGTTTTTTCTATTTGAATTATACATAATATGATACCTTGACTTTTATATTCACTCTGCTGAAATGAACATCTCCTTGTAAATAATCACTGAAGATGACGACCGGCTTAAGTGCATCACAAAGGACTTTTGCAGCAGCAATGGTCTTCTTATCTGTGAGCATGTTTCTATAACCTAGAATCTCAGGTTCTTTTTTTGCCTCATATATTGCATCCAAAGAGTCCAAAATTGAGGAATACCTATGTAGAAGCCGAACACACGCACGCCCATGACTTAACCATCTGGTAGCTGCAGCCGTAATAAACTTGAGTTTTTTCTGATGGTATGTTTCTTGCATTTCCTCAAAGACTGCATATCTCTTTGGAGAATAGTGGAATAATTTCCATATCCCAAGTAGTAGAGAGTCAAGCTCTTCGAGGACTGGAAAATCCTTTATGAGATGTTTCACGCACAGAGCAAGTTTATGGTTTCTGCAGTTAATGTACATTTGGTGAGGAACCAGATGACGAAAGCGTCGCTGAACACCTAAAATAGAGGTTTCTAATTTTATTATAAAATATTATAATATAGGGTACCCTGGTTATGAACTACTTCTAGTCACTGTCTTACTGTCAGAACGAAATTAAATAACTTACTATGAAATAGTTTACATTATATTACACTACTATTCACCAAGAAAATAAACTACAAATGTAGTGGCTGTGCTGAACTAAAAGTTAATATTTACCAGTGTTTACTCCACTCATGACATTGCAGCCATCGAAACCAACAAAGATGGCTTTACTAACGTCGAGTCCTTTGGCTATCAAAATTGATTCAAGGCTGGATGTCAGGCTCTCTGCATCAGTGCACTGAAGTTTAAGCAGTCCCAAAAATATTTCCCTAATTTTTCCACTATCAACAAAACTGATGACAGCAAACTGCTCCCTGTTCGCATCATCTGCTGATTCATCGGCTAGTAGGGAATACCACCCAGCTTCTCTTATTGACTCCAGAATCTCACTCTCAATGGAGAAGGAAAGAGAGGAAACAATATCTTGGACAGATGATGGTGAAGTATAAGTGAGGGTTGGGTGGTAAACTAGGTGATCTGCTACAGGTTTGTAATTCAACTCATCTCCCAAAAACTTGATCATATCTTTCAAGTTATCAGTAATTGCCCATCTCTTATAGAGCATAAATATGGCAGTCTTGAAGAGAGTTCCAAAGTATTCTAGATTTCTCTTTTTGTCTTGTTCTTTTAAGGCATCAATTTGTTGTTGAAGCATTTGTAATATTGATGGACTTTGATCAGACTTACCAGAGCTCAGGTATATAGACTCTGCTTGCTGGTGGGCTTCTGATTTATGATGCTTCTCTAATTTTCTTGTTGGGTGAGTTCCCAGGCTCCTAACTCCACCTGTTGCAAACAGACTAGTTGCAGAAGTGTCACTTTTACAGTCACCATACCGAAATTCGCAGTACTTACAAAAGTAAGCTTCCTTTGCTGCACTGTGGTACAGCCACGGAAAAGTCAATTCATGAGAAATAGCGGACTTTTTTCTGCTATCACAGTGTTGAATTTTTTATTTTCTGGGTGGTTCATAGTCATCTGTATCTGTGTCATTCTTCGCTGAGCTCTCGGGATTTGCTTCACTCTGAATTACCTCCAACTCCTTGCTCTGTACAGGGTCGGTCTGAATTTCCTCGCTTTCATTTTGCTTCGCGATCGTCTTTTCCTGTTCGGTTGGCAGGGTTTCAGTAACCACTAACTCAGAACGAGATTCTGTTAATTGTTGAGCGGCAGCCTGTTGTTTAAACAAAGTGTCTATTTTCTTACATTTGTCAGTTGTCTTAGTAGAAATCTTTTTTCTATAGTACTTCGCATTATGCGACATGTTTGTGAATAAACAAGTCGTACCTAAGAGAATTCGTAATTTACTATAGTCGACTAGCATATATATACGAATTACCAGTTTACAACACGGAAGTGTTTTCTTCATATCTTCACAGTGCTTTTACGACTGTCAAAAATATGAGTTTTATTTTTTTTACAGTAATAAATTTAAGCAATCATACATTGGGAATTTTTACAGTCAAATTTGGGAAAAAAGGTGCCTTTTTCACGTTGGGAACGGAGCCGAATATCGGCCCCAATTATAGAGAATCGAGAGCCCTGGAAGAAGTCGAAAATGGGGAGGGGGTCATTCATGATTTGAACAAACGTGAATCTACACTACCTGAGGATGCTTCCGTATCAATATGACTAATCATGGCTTTGTTGTTCTTGAGAAGAAGATTTTAAAGATATTTAATATATATGTTCTTTTGTAAAACTTTGATCACCCATTATGGCCCATCCTACGACTGGAAGATGCTTAGAACAAACCTGAATCTACAAAACTTGGGAATGCTTCCGTATCAATATGACTAATCATGGTTTTCCTGTTCCTGAAAAGATTTTTAAAGAATTTTCCTATATATTCCTATGTAAAACTTTGATCCCCCATTGTGGCCCCACCCTACCCCCGGGGGTCATGATTTGAACAAACTTGAATCTACACTACCTGAGGATGATTCCATATCAATATGATTAATCGCGACTTTGTTGTTCTTGAGATGAAGATTTTTAAAGATTTTTTTCTATATATTCCTATGTAAAATTTTGATCCCCCATTGTGGCCCCACCCTAACCCCCGGGGGGTCATGATTTGAACAAACTTGAATCTACACTACCTGAGGATGAGTCCATATCAATATGACTGATTGTGGCTTTGTTGTTCTTGCGAAGAAAATTTTTCAAGATTTATTCTATATATTCCTATGTAAAATTTTGATCCCCCATTGTGGCCCCACCCTAACCCTAGGGGTCATGATTTGAACAAACTTGAATCTACACTACCTGAGGATGATTCCATATCAATATGACTAATTGTGGCTTTGTTGTTTTTGAGAAGAAGATTTTTAAAGATGTTTCCTTAATATACCTTTGTAAAACTTTGATACCCCATTGTGGCCCCACCCTATCCCCGGGGGTCATGATTTGAACAAACTTGCATCTACACTACCTTAGGATGATTCCATATCAATATGACTAATTGTGGCTTTGTTGTTCTTGAGAAGAAGATTTTTAAGATTTTTTTTCTATATATTCCTATGTTAAACTTTGATCTCCCATTGTGGCCCCACCCTAGCACCGGGGATCATGATTTGAACAAACTTGAATCTACACTATGTAATGAAGGTTTCAACTTTTCTTGCCCAATGGTTCTTGAGAAAAAGATTTTTAAAAGATGACACCAAATTTTCACTAATTCTTAATTATCTCCACTTCACCTAAGGATGCTTTGTGGCAAGTTTGGTTGAAATTGGCCCAGTGGTTCTTGAGAAGAAGTCAAAAATGTGAAAAGTTTACAGACGGACGGACAGACGGACGACGGACAAAATGTGATCAGAAAAGCTCACTTGAGCTTTCAGCTCAGGTGAGCTTATAAAAAACATCTTGAATACCTTCTTTGAAATTTAGCCAAACACAAATTTGATGTCAAGCTCACCTGAGCCAAAAAATCAAGTGGGCATCTCTATTGGAAAAGTGGCCTGCTTCTGTCATTTATCCTATGAATATGTATCAGAAATTATTTTTACCTTCTAAAACTCCATCTTTAACAATGAAGAGATGTTGATGGACTTCCAGTCCCCTGGTGGACTCTGTAACTTCACTGACATTTTGACGTTTCCCTCTTAATCGCTTCAGCAGTGTTGTTATTCCCCTGGATGACTTTGTAGCTTCGCTGACATTTTGACATTGCCCTCTTAATCGCTTCAGCAGAGTCGTTTTTCCTGCCTCAGCACACCCAACAAGTATCCCTCTGGCGTGGAAAACAGTTGTCTTCTCCTTCCTCAGAAACTTCTTCAACTCATCAACTTCATTTATATCATCACTGTTTGGATCTAAACAAAATTAAACATGTTCTTAGAGTAATCGGCCGAACACATGCATTAAGGAGAATTTGACATTTTGTTTTAATGCACAATATAGGAATTTCAGGAAAAAAAATGTTAATATTCTGTTAGTTTCAAATTTTATCTCTCTAATTCAGTTCAAAAATATTATCTGGTTATTTTTGTTGCTTTGTTCCTCATCATGCTCATGGGCTAAGAACAAGGTATGAAATTAAACAGTCATTTCAATTTCATTTTAACTTGATAGTGAAATGATGCAGAATTATAGAAAATAGATGTGATCATTCATAATCATTTTTGGTATTTCAATATACATGTATTTGTTTCTTTTGTAAAAAATAAGAAATTCCTGTGTGCAGTCTACAAATATCATGAATTATAAAGGAAAAACTATTTTTGTAGCAGAAAAATAGTTATTAATTTTTTTTTTACTTTTGAAATAAGAAATTTAACTATGCGTCATCTAACCAGCCTTCAGAAGTTTTAAGGTGGTATGGGATACCAAACGAAACTTCTCCTACATATTTATACACCCAAATTAGGAAGATTTGAAATACCCCACACCTTTCAGTATGTTAAGTTGTAATTTTAATAATTTTTTTATTATTTTAATGAGAAATACAAAAATGATTTTTTTCTTGTATAATTCTTTTTTCATAAGCTTAATATTATAGGCAGACGTTTACTGATATAAAGTGTATATAAAAACAAAAATGACAAGAAATATGTCTTAGTATTTTTTTTAATTTTCAACAAAAAATTTGTGTTAAAAACTTGGAAAACTTTATTTCTTGAAAACAGACGGATAACATTTCATGAAAGTCTACAATTAGAATGTATCTTAATATGTTAGCAAAGTGAAATAAACAAATCAGGGATGGGGTCAATTACTTTAAAAAGTAATTAATTAAATTACAATTACTTTGACTTTTTCTTCAATTAAATTACAATTAAATTACAGGCTTTCTAAGACATGAAATTAATTAAATTACAATTACTTTGCAAAAGTAATTAATTAAATTACAAATTACATTTTTATGTTTTTTTGAAAATTTTTATAATCCTTTTCAATGAATATACAGAACATCATTTATTTGTATATAAGCTCAGCCTCTGCACAAACAGTACAAGAAATAATATGCTATAGGCATTGTGTATCATAATGTGGTTTAATTTATAACATTTATTTACAATACAATAAGAATCTCTTAAAGAACTATCCGAGATCAGTTTGATGCAGTTTCCACCACACAAAATCTATATGTACACAAATTGCATGGCTTATGATATTTGATTAAAAGTGAGTATTTTAATAGAGTAAAATGAGTCGCAACTGTAACCCCTTAAATTAAATATTTCCTTTGAAGGTAACCTGAACATCTCAAATTGCTATTTATGTTGAACAATTTTACTTCATAAGTCAGAATTGTACAGATGGAAAATTCATTCATAAAAATCTGTTTAGATGTTAAAATAATTATCAAATTGAAAGTATTTCTTTTCTAAAGCTAGCGGCGCATTTTAAACTGAAATAATTATCTCCACTGGCTTTGTCTTCTAAATCATGGAATGAATATATCTTTAGAGGAGTTGATTTGTTTTGATTGCAATTTAAAGCTGTGATCTGGAGGGCAATTATCTCTTCCCAACAAGAGAGAACTCTAACTTAGTGACACACACCTTCCTTTTCTTTATTATTGATCAAACAACAAAGATTGAAATACATGTACAACAAATGTGTGTTGCATAGCTGAATAGACCTAAGAAGGGTGGTTCAAAATTCATATTTATAAACATAGATCAAAAAATTCAAAATTAACATAATGATTAGAAAGAAACTAGTTTATTATTATCAAGCCAATCATTTAATTATTTATTTGTAAGCATTAACCTAAGATTTTCTTTAATTGAAGGATTGAGGATATGTTTTAACAATAAAATAAAAACCAGTAAAATGGGGAGGTAGTGGTAACGATATATCATGAATATATCATGAATGTGTATTATATAAAGTAATTGAATGTAATTGAAAAAGTAATTGAAATTACATGGTATTTTTTCAGTGTAATTAATTAAATTACAATTACAAGTAATTGAAAAAATGTTCAATTACAAATTACTTCCAATTACTTCAAAAGATGTAATTAATTACAGTCAATTACAATTACTTTTTTCAATTACCCCATCCCTGAAACAAATTGAAAAAATATATATAAATGGAAAATATAAAATGCATTTAAAATTTTTTGAACTAAAAGATCCGATCGGAAGAGTTATCCTTCTTTATTTTCCAAGGGTTGAAAAAACCTGGGTGCTATTTCAGAAATGATGAGCATTTTTTCCCAACCATAAAAAAATCGTATTTTGTAGTTTTCAACTTTGAACTGTTTTGCAAACTATGCATGGACAATCGCTTTAGAGGACGTGTCTTGTTCAGAGCAATGGCATTCATCTAAACGTTTTGGGACGATATACAACAGCTAGCTGATTTGTGACCAAACAGTTACTTCTTGAATTAAATGACAAAGAAGTCCAGCTCTGGTTAACGTGATAATCGATTGGTGATAATTCAGCACAATATGAAGTAATCGCACTTATCCATGCCTCACCGCACACATGGTACTGTACAGTTATTCAAACAATTGAAATACAGCTTTTGCTTAAAAGTGTTCAAAAGCAGCAATGTTGAAACTACCTTTTACAGGGGTTTGCTTTTTAAATGTCCGTTGTACAATTATAAGTAAATTTATATACTTGCGATTTTTTTGTCAATTTTTACTTAAAATGCCGACTTGTGAGAACTGGCATTGAAACAGGCTTCAGAGTGTTCTTTTCAACGGTGTATCTACAAATTTTGATCCGATAATAAGCACTCATGCAAATCAAAACAATACTTCAAACGGAAATACGTCATAATGTGGAGGTATCCCATACTACCTTAAAAACAATAAACCATTGTCCAAGAACATAAAAAGTTTAAAACAACAAGAGGCCCATGGGCCACATCACTCACCTGAGCACACTGGCTAGGGGAAAAAAAAGCAAAAATCATTTCAGTATTGAAAAGTTTATCGGGGGGGGGGGATTTTAAACTACCTGATGATGCTTTCATATCAATATAACAAATGGCTTTGCTGTTCTTGAGCAGAAGATTTTTTCCCATTTATTCATTTGTAAAAATTTGATCCCCCATTGTGGCCCCACCCTACCCCCGGGGGCCCTCATTGAAAAAATTTCATTCTACACTACCCAAGGATGCCTCCATATCAATTTGACTAATCATGGCTTTTCTGTTCTTGAGATTTTTTCCTATATATTCCTCTGTAAACTTTGATCCCCCATTGTGGCCCCACCCTACCTCCAGGGGTCATGATTTGAACAAACTTGAATCTACACTACATGAGGATGCTTCCATATAAATATGACCAATCATGGCTTTGCTGTTCATAAGAAGATTTTTAAAGATATTTTCCTATATATCTCAATGTAAAAATTTGATCCTCCATTGTGGCTCCACCCTACCCCCAGAGGTCATGATTTGAACAAACCTGAATCTACACTACCTGAGGATGCTTCCATATAAATATGACTCATCATGGCTTTACTGTTCTTAAGAAGAAGATTTTTAAAGATATTTTCCTATATATTTTTATGTAAAACTTTGATCCCCCATTGTGGCCCCACCCTACTCCCGGGGGTCATGATTTGAACAAACTTGAATCTACACTCCCTGAAGATGCTTCCACATAAGTTTCATCTTTCCTGGCCCAGTGGTTCTTGAAAAGAAGATTTTTAAATGATGCCATTATTTTTTCACTAATTCCTAATTATCTCCCCTTGAAAGAGGGTGTTGCCCTTCATTTGAACAAATTTGAATCTTCTTCACCCAAGGATATTTTGTGGAAAGTTTGGTTGAATTTGGCCCAGTAGTCGAAAATGTGAAAAGTTTACAGACAGACGGACAAATGTGATCAGAAAAGCTCAATTGAGCCTTCGGCTCAGGTGAGCTAAAAAGTTGACACGAAGAAAGGTGAGGAGAGAAAACATTGATTTATGTCATATTTTTGCCCCCCTATATCACTTTTATGGTTGACGTAGCACGATACAATGGAACTATTCAATTTTAATGAACATGAGCCAACCCAAAATTGTACACCTTATTTTCCAAGATTTTAAAAGATAAATTGAAAATTAATAATCATTTGGTTCTTGTGGAGGTTTTTTTTTTACTTCTTTACATAATATTTCCATCCATTGAATATTTTCTCCTTTATTTCTAAAGAAAACCATTGCATACCATATGCATATCACCTGTACAGATTTCTTTATCGGTGGCTGTTCCATCAATGAAACATACTATGACGAACATATCAATAAGGCCAAATAAAAAAATATGTGTGGTTCCGGTTACCCGACCTTCCCTATTTTATACCCCCGACCCTAAACTTTTTTTTGGCAATTTTCATATTTTTTCCGGAATTTTCCCCCATTTCCATCAATGGCTCCGGTTTAAGTTTTAGTTTCAGCAATGACGGCCTCCTTGCAAAACATAGTGCTAGTATTTAATAGTGTTAAATCCAAAGCAAGCTAGCATGTAGGTGTCCCCTACCAATATTGACTAGTATATTATCACACCACATCTAAATGTGATTTGAAAAGCAGTGATAGGTATTATTTGGAAAAATTAAGAAAATCATTTTGTTTAAAAAAAAAAAAAATCCCTACCTACCTACCCTAATTTTTTTGGAAGTGTAACCGGAACCACACATATTTTTTTGTTTGGCCTAATACAATAATAAATCTTTTTAATCCTACTTTAAATGATTATTTATACAGATATAAATATAAACAATAAAATGTCTTTCTTTGGTTGTTAGTACGGGAATTAATGTCACAGCTGTTGCAGAAAAAATACATAACCCGCGTAAGCATTTTATTGTTTAAATAAATACAGAACAAAAAGGTTTGGTACATTAAACAAGAGGCCC